TTACACTTAACTGTGATGCTTAGAGTACCTTTCCCAGAGCTGAAGAAAATCTTTCTGTGGCTCAAAAGCTTCTCTCTTTCACCAATAGATGTTGGTCCAATAAAAGATATTACCTCACTCACCTTATCTCTCATCAGGAAGTGACATTTAAAAAGCAAGTTTTAGTCATACATTCATACATTGCTGTTATACAGCTGATTTGTTACATAAATTATGTTTTTCATTAGATGGAACTTTTAAACTGAAGTTCTTAAGATTTTCAAAAATGAAAATATATGAAACCCAAGAAATGCTGAGCAATATTTTGCTATTGTAATTATTAGTACAGAACCTGAACTCAGGGTTTGTCTACACTACCGCTTAAGTTGATGTAACTTTTGTCGTTCAGGGTTTTGAAAAAACCACCCACTTGAGCGACGTAAGTTACATTGACTTAAAGTGCTGTGTTATGTTGTGGGGAGACACCTTCCGACCAATATAGCTTCTGCCTCTCAACATAGCGCAACTTCACCGATGTAGTGTGGTGGTGAAGATAAGTCCTTAGTGTTTACATTTTAGTCCTCTGCTTTCAGAAACAGGATTCTTCCAGTTATAGTCCTTCCTACCTCCAGGATTCAATCAAGTTTTAATTTCCCAAACCAAGCTATTTTACTAAAGAGGGGATAGCCCCTTACAACTGGAATGTCTTCTGTGAACTAGTCCATAAGGCCACTATCCTCTTTTCTTGCAAATCCCTCCTCTAATTCTATTTTTGCTGTGACCCCTAAAGTAAATTTTCCATTGTGTTGACTATTTGTGGAGCTCAAGGAAAATGTAAAGCTCCAAGTCTGTATTAAAATAAAGAAAAATCTTTTTCTCTCTTAAAATCTGTTTCTCTCTTTGAGGAAGTGTTTTTTTAACAGCTAATTTGATTTTTACTCACAACAGTGTAAAGCGAAGCAATATTATGGAGTTGCTTGACAATTTATTTGCCCTGTGATTAGCTGAAGTGAATGCCTTTTTTTTTTTTGTGTGAAATGTAAAATTGGGTGTTTGAATCTATTTGTTTTTTATAATCAAGTAATAAAATTAAATTCCAGCTTTTATGTTTCCTATGTTTCCTAACTCAAAAAGTGTTGCATCCAACATGGGGGAATCTTTATTAGACCTTGTCTTAACAGATAAAGAGGAACTGATTACAGAACTAAAAATTAATGGTAACTTAGGTATAAATGATCATGATTTGATCACATTTATAATGTGCAAGCAAATAAAGTCCAGACCTGTAATGTATATACTTAGTGCTTTAATTGGGCTAGTTTCACAAAGCTATAAACAATTATGAACCAAATCAGCTGGGAGGAAGAATTGAATCAGAAGACTGTGAATGATAATTGACAGTCTTTTAAGAACACTTTACAAGATGCCCCAAAATTGAAGGCAGCTCTTATATATATTGTATAAATGGAAGACAAGGAAGTTGATAATAATGACAATAAATCAGAAGTAAGGAAGTATAGAAAATTGATAAGGGAAGGAAAGAGACACCAGGGGAAATCTATGTCCAACAGACTTAGGGACACTAAAAAGGAGTCTAAGTATACTAGGAACAAAAAAAATGTTGACAATGGTATTGGTCCGTTACTAGATGAAAACAGTAGAATTATCAATAATAATGCAGAGAAGGCAGAAGTGTTCAATAAATATTGTGGTTCATATTTGGGGAACAAACAGAAGATATAGTCTCATCATATGGTGATGATAACACTCTTTCCATTCCACTAGTATTTCAGGAGGATGTTAAACAGAGGCTACTTAAATTAGACATTTTGAAATCAGCAGATCCAGATAAATTGCATCCAGGAGTTTTAAAAGAGCTGTCTGAGGAGCTCACTGGACTCTTAATGTTGAAGTCTTGGAGCACTGGGGAAGTTCCAGAAGACCGGAAGAAAGCTAATGTGCCAATTTATAGAAAGTGAAAAGGAGATGATTCAGGTAACTATAGGTCTCTCAGCATGACATCTGTCCCAGGCAATATAATGTAGCAGCTGATATGGGACTCAAATGATAAAGAATTAAAGCAGTCTAATGTAATTAATGCAAATCAACAAGGATTTATGGAAAACAGATCCTGTCAAACTAATTTATCTTTTTTGATGAGATGTTTGGCTGATAAAGGTAATAGTGTTGATGAATATACTTAGACTTCTGGAAGGTATTTGAGTTTGTACTCAACAACACGTTCATTAAAAAAAATTAGAATGACATAAAATTAACATGCCACACATTAAAAAGATTCAAAACTGGCTAACTAATAGGTCTCAAAATATAACTGAAATGGGGAATTGTCATCAAGCAGGTGTGTTTCCAGTGAGGTCCCCCAGGGATCAGATCTTGGTTCTACATTTAACATTTTTATCAACGACCTGAAATAAAATATAAAATCATCACTGATAAAGTGGGCAGATGACACAAAAATGGGGGAGGGTAAATAATGAAGAAAAGAGGTCACTGATTCAGTGCAATCGGGATCGCTTGGTAAACTGGGCACAAGCAAACAACAGGAGTTTTAATGCAGCTAAATGTAAATGTATTAATCTAGGAAAAAGATACAAAACTGGGATTTTATGTCAAGCCGGGAGTACCTTAAACCAAATGTGCGTAGAGTCTAAGAATCTAAGAATTGAGGTTACTTGACGCAATGAGTTCCTTAATGGGACATCCTATTGGTCATTCTCACCAATTGTGGCTAAGTCACAATAAATAAAAGCAATCAAATGTCTTTTAAATTATTCTGAACCACGATATATATCTGAACCATCAGACATTTTATCATAAGTAATGGTTAACTTATAATGTTACCCTCATCTTTCCTCCCCTCTTCCTTCATATTTGTCAAACTCAGTTGTTGCATCTTGTCTTCAATTACACGGTAAGCTCTTTGAGGAAGGGCCAATGACTACTTATGTGGTTTTTGTACAGTACAATGGTAGCGCGATTTTCACTAGAGCCTTGGTGCACTTCCACAATACAAATAATTAATAATAAAACATGTGCAATACAGTTTTCCTAGTTTAAAAAAAAAAGCATTAGTAACAAGCACGCTGTTCCATCCTTTCATATTAAACTAGTGTGTTATAAAGTCCTTCCCAGAGGTACTACTCCTGGATGTTAGATTGTAGTGTAGCAAGGGTCGTGGCATCATTCACAACAGGGTACAATAGCTCTGGAGAGAAATATAATCCCAGTACACATCAGCAACAGATGTCAGTGTGGTCAGACATATTTGATCATTTAATAAATAACTTGCTCATAACTTTCCATATACAGAACTTCCTTTTGAGAGTTCGTCAACGGGAATAATTTGCTGATTTAAAAAAACACAGCAAACAAAGAAAACATTTCAGAGTTTGCCCTGTGCCATGTTATAACTCATTAAAATATACCTTGTCTTTAATTTACATCATTTAAAAATAAAAGCATTGCACTAGATAGTATCTAGAAGTCAGAAAAGAAAGTCACATTATTTAGGATAATTTCACAATTTTTTGTCGCCATTTAGTTTTGTTCAATTCTTCAGTCCCTCAAGTTGTACTTTATTTGCTGTGGATATTTCTTACATTGTAGATATGAATATCCTTACCCTTTCCTCAATGCACACATGAATTTTCATGTTTTTGATGTGAAACCCATTATTGCTCAAAAAATGGACCCATTAAGAAAAAATGTGAGTACCCTTGTATTTTGAGTGTTTTTCATTTTGTTACAGATAACACTTTATCTCTAATAGCTGCTCAATATCTGCCTCAGATTGTATTGTAATCCATGGTGAAAAGCAATTACACCCTAACATCAATTTTAAGGCTGTCAAGCAAACTAGTGCATAGCCAGCAGGAAGTGGTGGCGAACGGTGCAGAATACTCAAAGAGAGTGAAAGATGTGGAAATATGGTAAAGCCAAGGCACTGATGGAGCATACCAGCAATGGAAGTAGCAGTAGAGCAGTACTCTGTTATTCAGCCTCAGTTTTAAAAGAAAAAAAATGTCAGCCTCCTTTGTATTATGAATGTCTGATGTCATTTCACAGGGACACCCATGCAGGGTTCATCCTGTTTGTAATCCTCACACAAACTGCTCTTTAGGACAACAAAATGTGCAAAGAAACACTATGGCAGCCATGTTGTATCTACCACTGTACAGAGCACCATGAAGGAATCTTGTACTGAGTGACAACTGCGGTGGGAGGGACATTGAATTTGCTTTGTACCATTGTTGATGTTGATGATTACTATAAACAAGATCATGGGTTTCCAATATATATTCATTTAACAGATGTGATTATGATTTTGACTATCTTGACTGAACACAGACATTTGATTTTTAACACTAACATCACAAAAAATATTTAAAAAAAATCCCCAAAACACATTTCCCTCCATCTATCACATTCAAAAGTCTGATCAAATACAAAGTATACAAAATATAATGGCATTCATTTTTTTTGCCTTTAAAAATATGATGCTCAAGTACTCATTGAATCAAAATTCTTTTGCACGCAACATTAACAGAAATAAAGCTGTTCTTTTGCCATACATTAGAGGAAAGAGAACCATGAGACCGATGGGTTACCTGCCCGGGCTTTGCATTCTCACAGACAACTACATCATATTCTCTGGCAAGCTCTGGAGGGTTGTCGTTGACATCCAGGATTCTAATATCAACTGGAACATGGCTTAGCAGGCCAGGGTTATCTGTAATACACACAAAAATGGATTCAGTCACTTGACAGTTTTAATAAACACTCTAAAGCCTTAGTTTAAACAAAATATCTTAAAATCATGGTTTGTTGGAGGCTTCAGCTACTACAATAGAACTTTCAGTAAAGCTAATTTTATAAAGATCCTATTTGCTGAGTCTCATTAACATTTTGAAAAATGAAAAATGAATAGACAGGCACAGCATGAATACTAAATCGCTATTTTGTCATATCAAGAAAATTACAAGTTACTCAGGAACTGAAGTGGGAGAAAGTTGTCAGAGTTTATTGGATGGTGTCACACTGTATGCCAAGAAATGATCAATTGGCTTCACAATTAACCTGAAAGTGTCACTGCAGTGTTGAACAAATCTAAAATTAAATATAGTACTTTTGTTTTCCTCCGTCCCTCAAAGATTTCAGGGTATGAAAATAAAATACTGAAGTGATAAGAGAAGAAAAAACAGGCAAACATATTTAAACCATTTTGTCAAACTGGGCTCCAGATTCCGTGCACGATATTACACAGCTGCAAATTATATAAATATAATAAAGTCAGCCTTGATGCTGTTTCACTGAAGTTAATGGGAGTTTTGCAATTGGCTTTAAAAGTGCAGGATCAATCACATAAACAGTAATAAAATAATTAAGAATAAAGGCTTAAGTTGTTTAGGTTTAAAAAAAAAAACAGAGTTTATTCTACCAGATTAGGTCTGTCTCTGATTTCCAAAAAAATCAAAACAAAAAGTACAATAAACAGACTTGTTTCAATTAACAGTTTTACATGATGGAATGGGAAGGAAATGCATGTTCCTTGATCTGTACACATATTCTCTCATTCTCATTACCTTACATTGGCTTTTTATATTTCATGTGAAGAACCTTTTATAATTAGCATTCTTCATTATAATACCATCAGCTCCTGTAACAATATTTCTTCCAAAAAAAATTTCAATATGCATCTCAGAACAGAAGAAAAAAAATCTTTCCTAACTGGTTAAAAATGTAGACCCTTTGCTGAAAATTGTGGACTTAATTTTTATATCCTCCACTGGAACCTAACTAGCAGTAAAAGATATCTAGGTCCATGATTTCAGGCACTGCATAGATGTAAGTTGCTTGTAACTGCCATGGAGAACTGGGTCTGTGTTTTTTTTTAGTGTGTGTGTGTGTGTGTGTGTGTGTGTGAGAGAGAGAGATTGTAATATTAATCTAGTCTCTAACCTGGATATCTTTGCCTTAATTAGGGATTGTCAATTTTTCTTTGTTCAGCATAAGTCCCAGACAGTCAAAGAGGTGAAGAATGTACTTGATGTAGTGGAGAATCTGGTGTTTGGATGTGCCTTGAATCAACCAATTATCCAGGTAATTTACATCTTCCCTTACTCCTCAGAATATCCCAGTTTCACAGTGCTTAGGACCCATTTGTCTGTTATTATAGATTTCCAAGCACTGAGGAAATGGGAAAATCTGTCCCCAAATGGGGGGAGATGGAAGGAAAATTACTGCTGTCCTTGAGAAAGAAGTCAAATGGGCTGCTTCCCTACAGCTGATTAAAGGCAAGCTAGTTGTGTTGACCTGGCATTAGAGGACTTGTTGCTTTGCAATTTATGCTTCCTCTTTGAGAAATGAGGTTACCTTACTGGATAGAAAGGTTGCCCTTAATATTGCTGTTGGTATGTATGCTGTTGTTGAGGTCTGCATTGGTGCCTCTTGGTGGCTGGGATATAGACCTCTAATGAATGAAAAGTAGCTCAACAGTTTTTAAAAGAATGAAAAGTCTCATTAGCTCTGTCTGAAAACAAACACCAACCATCAAACAGACTGTCTTTTTGTTGCATGTCCATTGCTATACCCAAGTTCTGTAATCAGGAAGCTTTTCTCATTGTTATTACAGATGCTATCACCATAGTGGCCAAGATGTCTCTCCAATCTGCATTTGTTGCAGCTGATGCTTCTTCTATGTGACTTTCTGGCAGGAAAGACTTCACTTCCTCCTGGTAATTTATCAGTAAACCTGGACATTACATCCCAGTTTACACAGTCACATGTAGCTCACAGTGCTTGCTGATTTGCTATATGCATCTGGAGAAAGTAGGGGGAATAATTTTTTCTCCCAAATAAATCTTGTGCCCTACTTTTTGTGGATTGATTTAAATCTCCCCAAACACGATCTTTCATTGGCAGGCATCACTACTAATAATTCAGGCAGAATGGGAATAGAAAACCTCAAAGCCTTTCATAGGAACACAATAACGTTTGTCTGTGCACTTAGCTATATGGGCTAAGGATACTGGCATATTCCATAAGGTCTTTGCTGGTTCTAGAAGAGTCTCATTGATAGTGAAGGCTACTGTCCCAGAGGCAGTAGCTTGGAGAATGTAAGTGTTCTCTTGTACAAGCTAATCTTACATGTTCAAAGCATCAGCCATTTTTCTCAGAAGTTCCTGATGAGATAAAATAATCTGGAACAAGAGAAGAAGAGTCCGTGATCACTGCATTCTCAGATGAGGTTAACAGGAGCAGATGGATGCTCCTGATGTAAAATTGGTTCCTCAGGCAATGGTTCCTCTTGCAGTACTGGCTGCTGTCGGGGAACAGCATCTTTTCATAGTCCAACCTAAATTGCTTTGTCATATGCTTTGACAACCTTCCCCTGACTGGGCCAGTGATTGAGACCTAAGGGAATAGGAAGTACGTCAGGGATTCCCAAATAATCATGGAGGGAGACTAAATGGCAAAGGGGCACAGTAAGAACAGGGCCACCATGATCTGTCCCTTCTGAATGATATCTCCTGCTCTTGGGGCAAATGCTGCTGGAACAGTCTTGAAGATTTGCTAGACCAACTGCATGTAGGAGGGGATAACAAAGTTTTGGAGGACTCTGATCAGACTACAAGGGGTCATCTAAATATTCAGTAGGCATCAGGGGTCAAAAGCTGATGGGACCACTAGTTGAACTGATCGATCTCTAGTCCATTGTGAAGAGGTCAATATAGGTACTGAGACAGGTATGGCAGTTGATACCGCAAAAAACTCCCAAGACGTTGATGGTACAGCATCGTGAATTGCTGTTGAGAAAGAATTCATAGTCAGTACCATGGTATAAGCTGGGATCAGTAGCCAAGCTGACAATCATTCTGGTACTGAGGCTGTTGATGCCAAAGCAGAGTCCAAGGCTGAAAATTAGACCTAAGATTTTCCCACCGCTGACACAGCATGTCCGGTGTCAAAGTGGGTACTGGAGAAGGCACCCAGTCCTCAATATGCTTCTTAGCTGGTACTGACAGTCTCTGCACCAGAGTTGAAGAGACAGAGCCAGTACTGCAGGAGATGTCACAAATGCATGGACTTGTGCTGTACAGGATGGTCTGGAACAGAGAGGCAAAGCAAATTCTTTTGCTGCCTCATAGACTTGTGGGGTTGTCAGTATTAATGATGTCAGCACTGAAACAGCATGCACTGGTTCTGGACGCAACAGCCATCTTGTAGATAATGCACTGAGTCAACAGCACAGTACTGATATCTGTCCACCGTGGTATTGGACTCAGTAGCTATCCTGAAGATTGTATCAGAGTTGACAGGAAGGTACCAATATCATTCCACTGCAGTACCAGACAAAACATCCTTCCTACAGATGGTACCAAAGTTGATGACATGGTACCCATATCCTGCTGCTGCAGTACCAGGAAGATGTATACATGGCCCAGCTCTATCATGGATACCTGAAGAGTCCAGTAATGTTTTGAGTTCTCTTTCAAGGAAGACAAGCTTAAGTGTCCACTTTTGGGGAGGCCCTGAAGAAGAAGTTTGCCCCCTCTTCCTCTGTGGAGAAGAATGCAAGTCCAGGGGTCTGCCAGACAACTTGCAGACTTCATGTAAATGGAAGGCGTGATGTCTCAAGGCTTGAACCCAGGCTGGAGAGTCCCCAGTCAGCTGCCACTTCCTGGTCTCCACCCACTAAGTACTAAAGTGGGTGGGCTGAGAAGCTACTAGGGCTACAGCCCCAGCCAAGGGACCACCCATGGGAGCTCTGATTGGAGGATCACTCGACTCTACCGATTGGCCCAACTATGCTATTTAAGCCAAGAGGAGGAACAGGAAGTTTGTTAGAGCAACCCAGTGTTTTTCTGTTGTGGCTGCATTGGATTGTGCCTGTGCCTGTGCCTGCACTCAACCCGGTTCCTGACTCCTGCTCTGCTCCTGCCGGAACTCACCTTGGTAACTACAATCACTAGGAACATTTAATTTATTAGATCCCAGAAGGAGCAGAAGATTGAACCTTGTCAAATGCAGGCCTAAGACTCTGGAACACCTTTTCAAGGGAACTCAGGAAGATCCCTACCTCACCATCTTCAGATGATAATGTAAGAATCTCTTCTTTGTCATACCATTCCCCCAAAGAACCCAAAGAGAAAAAAATCCATCATATGTAGAAGTAAAAGACAATAACTAAACCAAGATTAGGGAGGAGAATGAACAGAGGGCTTGGAATTAGAAGCAGAAGAATAATGGAGAACTGCCTTTTAAACAGTTCTCATTATGTTTTTATAATTTTGTACAATGTTTCCATACTACAGTGAGAGGTATGTTACAAATGCTTGAAAACAAATTGATAGACTTTCTACAAATCAACATGTCATGATTCTTAGGGTCCAAAGTCTATCAACCTGTCTAGGATGGATATAGATGCTATATAATTGAAAACCTGGGAATCCCAGTTCATCAACAGGGTAAACAAGGTGTTTCTAGCTCTTGCTGTTAAAAAGATATCAGACCTTCAATTTTTCATTATTTCATTGACTAAAATATAGTCAGTCTTGGATCTCAGACCCGGTAATTCTAAAATTCCACTTTTCCGAGATCCAGATTTAGGGATAAAAGAGGAAATATTTTATGGTAGGTTCTATTTCTTTGAAAAATAAAGCAACTGCCTGGAATATTAAAAGCCACAGTGAAAATGGATTGGTAGGCAGAATATGGGTGAGGCCAAAG